GTGGTCGAAAAAATTATCGAACAATTGATAGTTTCTATAAACGTACGACTGGATGTTTTAATTGTGGTCAAGATCATGTTGTTCGTGATTGCAAAATGTCTCCAAATTTTCAATAACTGGACCACGCAGTAGCAGTGTTTCCAGTCAATTGATTAAGCCATCAATATCTTCTCCTGTTTAGATCACGATTCATGTTAATAATCAACCCACTGAAGCCATCCTTGATACAGGATCCGCGATCTCAATTATTCATTTAAATTTTCTTAAAATCATTATTCACAAAAAACTTTATTTACAAAACTCCTACATGTCAAACAGCGAATTCAACACCTCTCAACGTTATCGGTCAAATAGAATTAGAATTAACAATTAAACATATATAAACTTTGGTGATTGTCTATGTTGCACCAAATTTAATCACATCAATTCTATTAGGTAATGCTTGGATCAATTTCAAACTATGTTCACCTGTTTGGTGATCAGAAACAATGAATAGAATTGAAGGTTCATCAAAGAGCTATAAAATTCATCATTTTGCTAATATTTTGTCTTATCTACTTATTCTCAAACTGAACCCACTGTCATAGGACGAATTATTAGAATAATGACTAAAGATGTGTTACTTTGTTACTAGCTTTAAGATTTCAAAATTCAATCGAAACTTCATGAATCTAGTACAAATATGTCGATCCCAACATTCTCTTTCGTTGAGGTATGATTCAATGGAGTTGGTCAAAAAGAAATACTAGTAGACTGATTTGACGTCTTACACGTTATCCCATTCCCCTTTACTTATGAATGTTTTATTGCGGTAGCAATGATTCGATATGGGATTTTGTTCATATAGAAGAAACGATCCATGATTCGTTATGATCCAAATATCGAAAACCACATTAGAAAACCTGTTAGATTAAGGTGATAAAACGTCGCCAACATAAGTGGCACAAAATCAGTGATAAGAAATGTATGCAAATATATAGGTTGGGCTGTCAAGTATCATTCGATCACATATACGAATATGCGATTAAGATTAATTGTCTTATCGTCGGTCAATCAACGATAAACCAATTGATCTTGATTGCATATTCGTATATGTAATCGAATGATATTTGTCAGTCCAGTTTACATATTTATATACGTTGTTTATCAATCATTTCGTGTTTCCTCGTTTTTGTGATGTTTTTTTACATTAATCTACAAGTTTTCTAATGTAATTTTCGATATTGGATCGTAATAGGTCATGGATCTTTTCTTTTAGACGAACAAATTTACATGTTGAGTCATTGCTCCCAATATAAATCATTCGTAGTTAAATTTACTATGATTCAGTATATGCTATATTTATTGTCGTCTATGTAAAAAAAGAATGTACTTTTTTCTTACTAAATCATGTCGCTTAATATAATAAAATGACATTAATTTTGTTTTACAAATGACCTTGAGAAAAGTTGATTATTTATTTTAAAAAGACAATCAGAGATAGTCATTGATCCAGTGACTGAATGAATGAAAAGCAATTAGAAAAGGACATTGCTTGATTCTATAATAATCCTAACATGACGAAGATCAACTTCATGTACGCCACTGTGTTGCCCTTTTTTTTTCGAAATCGAATTTCATTTCAATACTTTCACCCATTGAATAATATATATTATACTATTCGTGCCTATCAATATAAAGTTTATTTAGCACAATTGTGTATATAATATAGTCACTATAACAAGAAATCGTTCTTTTCTTTTCTTCAAAATTAAAAAAATTAAAAATCGAAGCACTTCATGAATATCATTTTTCTAGTCAATGCGACCAACTAATTCATTTTTTTTCACTTATCGAAGAATTGTTTGTATCGAGTAAGGTCAACAAAAAACTCAGCTGTGTTAGATCAACATAATGCATACACATACGGTCTTAAAACATGAATGATTAAACTAATGCAAACGAGTCTTCGCCGCTGACATACGCAGAACTTACAAAAAGAAATGTAAAAAAAAAATAACAGCGTCTTTTTTTTCTCTTTCTGTCACAGCATCAAAGAACAGAATAAAAGTAGACGAGCGAAGAAAAAAAAGCAAAATCATCGTAACCTGAAATGAATTTTCATTTTTTTTTCTTCTCTTCATATGAACAAATGTGTCACTGTAAACGCGCCGTACCAGCTGACAACCATAGTTGATGTAAGAGTAAAGAAACGATGAGTAATTTAAGGACTTAATATCTAACATGTTTAATATTGTATTTCTATATTATATTGTGCAATTTACTTTTACTATTATGCTTGCTCATGATGATGGTAAATCTAGGCCACAACAATATCAAAGTTTTTTTAATGGACCACAAAGTTTTTATCAACAACATCAAATGACGAATATCGATAGTCAAAAATGGTATTATTCATCAAATCAAAAACCATTAGCTTATTCATGGTATTGGACAAATCAAGATGTACCATCATCAAATTTTTATAAAAATACATTACCTTCGAAACCAATTGATCCATTAACAAATGGAGTTTGTGGACGTAGTCAAGTAACGAATAGATTTGGACGTATCATGGGTGGACAAGATGTTGTACCTCATTCATATCCATGGATGGTTTCATTAACAAAACGATCTTTAAATAATTTGCATCTATGTGGTGGAGTTCTTATTACAAGACGTCATGTTCTTACAGCTGCACATTGTATAGAAGATTTTGATGGAATTGATGATTTAAATGTTATAGCTGGTACTCATTATACTACTGACAAAAGAAATCCAGCATCCGTTATATCAATAACTATGCATCCTCAATATGATCCAGACACATTTGCTAATGATGTTGCTATTTTAACACTCCGTTCACCATTACCTGATAATGATCTACGTATTAATACAATATGTTTACCACCTGATGATATTCCAGGTAAAAGTTATCCACCTATGAAGATAGCCGGTGTTGCTATTGGTTGGGGATCAACTGCTTTTGGCGGTGACCCGTCAATAACATTGAAACAAGTTGTTTTACCGATTCTTGATCCAACAAAATGGCCATGCACTGTATATATTAGTTATCTTTCAGGACAAATCTGTGCAGGACAACTTCAAGGTGGTTCTGATACATGCCAAGCTGATTCAGGTTTTATCTAAAGAATTTTATGTCTTTTGTAATTAATTTGTTTTTTATTTATTTTAGGTGGTCCATTAATGATAGAAAATTCAGATAATCGTTGGGAAATTGTTGGTATAACATCATTCGGTAAATCATGGTAAGATATGTAACAAAAAAAACAAGAATTGATATACAAGATAATATCGTTTTATTTCTTTAGTGGTAAACCAAATACACCAGGGATTTATACACGTGTAGGTACTTATAATACTTTTATTCGGTCAATAATTGGTGTCTCAAATTATAGTCCATATTATTCGTCTTCTACTCAGTTATATTCTTTGAATGGATTTTCATTCAGTTATATTTTATTGATAGTATTTTTTTTATTTTGATAAACACAAGAAAAAAAATCATTAATTTATACTGTGTAAAATTTGATTAGGAATTTTTTTGTTTTTTACATTCATTCAAATAGATGAAGATTTATATATTTATATATATATAAACCATTGTCTTTTTTTCTTTTTTGTTTCTATTCTCATCATTACATGCATGTGTTAGACTTTATTGTGTGTACGTCCTTTTTTTTATTGACAGAGAAAAGGGATCATTTAACAACACATCATCATAAAAAAAAACGAACGTGGTGAAGATTTCAGGGTCTTTACACGCTTTACATATATATGTGTGTCTATATGATGCACCTATGAAGAAATGAGAGAGAACGAAATGAAAATTGAAAAAAAGAAAGAAATGATAAATGTATATATATTTTTTTTCTTTTTGATCAAGCTGTCAAACCAGAATTAATATACTAGAAAAAAAAAACAATAATAAACATAAATGTAAAAAGATAAATATTTAATAAAACCTGTTCTTCATTTGGCTCCGGTTCAAGACCAGTATCGATTTTTGGTCGTGCATGCCATCGAAGTTTTTCACTAAAAATCTGTTTTAAATAGAAAATATATTGAAAATATTATACTAAAACACTTTTTACCGCTGGTTCAGTATATGAATCTGGATCGTAAGAATTATTATGTGCATCGACTTTTGCTTGAGATTTCCAATGAGGTAATCGATTAATAATCTATATTCAAAGTAAAACTTAGGGATGTGAAGTATTGGTTTAAATACTGAAATTCTGAACGGTGAGTGACTGACACAGGACTCAATGTGGTGCTAATTGCACTGAGTCGGTGATGTCGATGGTCAGTAAACTGAAACTACATATATCTAGTAAAACTTAAGTTCTAAAAACAATTGGGGTTGTTTTTGTGCAATTATTGATCGTCAGAATGCACCAAAAGAGCATATAACTCGAAAGGATATTGACATTAAATAGGATTTGAAAAAATTCTTTTCTTTTTAAACATACTTTCGGTCTTGATTGTTCTTTTAAATTTTCTAGATATTCTTCATTACGAGCATTAATTTTTGGTGATTTTGTACGCCATTTAACTTTTTCTTGATAAATCTGACCAAATGAAATATTACATTTAAATATATTTCAAATAAGAATTTAATTTCATACCAAAGGTACTGATCGTTTTTGTCGCATACGTTCAATATAATCATCATTTTTTTGATTAATACGTGGTTTTTTTTGCCATTCAAGTTTTCTATTTTCAATTGGCTAAAAAAAAGTAAAATAAACGAATTTAAAAGTGCTCGTAAATTGATGTTATTTGTCTACAGGTAATTTCGCTGATTTTTGTCGTTTTATATGTTCAACAAAATCTGGATTTTGATGATCAATAAGAGCTCTATGTTTTCTTGGTTTTCGTTCTTGTGGAAAATTCTGTATTCAACAGCAAAACAAACAAACATCTATGAGTTAAAATAAATTAGAAGAAATAATTTACTTGAATAAAAGATTTTTCTCTTTGAAGAACTTTTTCACGTTTTCTATGTTTAACATATTGTTCATTATAATTATCAGTTCTATGAACATATGGCCATACAAGTTTTTCATCATAAATCTTTTTAAATAAAAAGAAAAAAAAGTTTTTTTTTCTTATTAAAAAATAATCTTACAATTGGTTTTGGTGCACTTTTAAGTCGTTCAATAGCTTCGTCATTATGAGAATCAATTTTAGGATCTGCTACCCATTTGATTTTTTCCTCATAGATCTTGTTTTTTTTTATTAAAAATTAAAATTTAATATATTAAATAGATAATTTAGTAAATAAGTATACTTGAGGTTTTGGTGCTCGACGAATATTTTCGATAACTTCTTCATTATGTGTATCAATTTTTGATTTTCCACTCCATATAGGTTTTTCATAAAATATCTATTAAATACTAGGTAATAGTTTAGTTTTTTTTCGTTTTTCATTGAAAAAAAAATACTTCAGGCTTTGGTGCTCGACGAATATTTTCGATGACTTCTTCATTATGTGTATCAATTTTTGATTTTCCACTCCATACAGGTTTTTCATCAAATACCTTTCTCTTTGGTGTATTAAGAATTCTTTCTATAGCTTCATCATTACGGGCATCAACTTTGGTATTTGCTTTCCAATCAACTTTTCCTTGAAAAATCTTTATTAAATAGAAAATGAAAATTATTGAATTTAGATCGATAATTGTGTACTTTAACAGTTGATTTCGGTCGAACATAACGAACTCGACGTGGTATTGGCGTTGTCTGCGAAAGCAAAAAAAAAAGAGTTTCGTAAGCAAATTTTCACGAAAATTAATTTTTCATTACTCCTGCAGTAGTATCTCGATAATCATTATTATCATCTTCATCTTCATCTTCAAAATCGTCTTCTTCATCATATGTTTCTAGTTGATTAAATTTTGATGATGATTTCATTGGTTGTGAACGATTAACTGATGACGATTTTTCAACTACATACGATCGATGTGGACGGTCAACAATATCATAATCTAAGATATTACCACGACCATCAGTTTGAACAAGAACAACTCGCTAAATAAAATTAAGTTATTTATCTAATTTATTAATTTTTATTTTCTTTATTCATACTTCATTTGGTCGAGCGCGTGGCATTATTGACAGAAAATAGTTGGCGTTACTATGAAGTTAATGCAAACACAATACAGAAAATGTTTATACGTTCAAGTGGAAATAAGTATTTCACTTTTTTTTTTCATGTTGTGACGACACACGAATAAATGGTGATGAAAAGAGAACAAAACAAACAATTTTACTCATACATATGCAAAAGAAAAAGAAAAGATTTTTCGACATCTTTCTTTTTGTCATTTTTAGTGTTATTGCGTATCACAGTCAAGTAAAATAAAACATACGTCTGAGTATGTGTTTCGTTATTGTTAATATTCAAGTTATTATTAATAAAAACTGTTAGCGTAATTCTTGCAAAATAAAAATCTGAAACACAATATAACTGCTGTGACTAATCACAGGAAGATTGTTTTAGTCCATCTATCTCGGAATACATTTCTTCAACATATTTTTAATTAATCTTCCACAAATGCAATAAGGAAATAGTTCATATATTATAATGAGACGTTATTAATATACGATCTGTGATGAGTTGTTCCTAACGTGTCTATCACGTCTGAGCGAAAGGTGGTTCAAATTTCTACCTCTATACTTCAACACTCCTTTTAGATCATGTTTCACAAAATATGTACTGGGCGTACCAGAAGAGTTTTGCAACATTTAGTATTTTTCGAATATCTCAGCAGAGATCAATCATATATACTTGATTCTTTTTTAAAAGATGTGTCGTGAAAAGCTGTACAAAAACTGTAAGAACAAATCCCTATTGATTTGTTTTGATGGTATCTCCTGTATTCAAAAGGAATAGGTCAGATGATGATTCTATGTCCCACGATATTCAGTATTTTGAAGACTATTTTTGCTTTGCAAATATTTCGCCTTGAGAAAATGACAATATCTTGACTTTTTTCAAAAGATGCGCCGTCGAAAGCTCTACAAAACCTGTATGAACAAATTCCTATTGCGAAACAAAAATGTCTTCGAAATATTTAATACTGTGGGACATAGGACCATCATCTGATCTATTCCTTTTGAATATAGGAGACACCATCAGAACAAGTCAATAGGGATTTGTTCTTACAGTTTTTATAGAGCTTTTCACGACTCATCTTTTAAAAAAAGAATCAAGAGTATACAATTGATCTCTACTGAGATATTTGAAAAATACTAAATGCCACAAAACTCTTCTGGTACACTCGGTATTGCTTGTTCAATAACTAAAAATGAGTTCTGCAAATATGAGTTCAATTTCTAGTAAGTTCTGAAATTAATAATCGAAAGAAAAAAGAATTAAGTTCTATAATCGAAATTGCTTCATAAAATAAAAAATATTTGACAATTTGTCAATCTTAATTTGAATTTAAAAAGAAATACTGTATTTGAAATTTGATGTGTTAATATTGATTTTGATCGTATTTATCTAAGTATCTTTATTGATCATGTAAAAATTGATATGAATAATCTAGTATCGTTATTAATATTAATATTTCTCTTTTCAATATCAAAAGAGTTTCTTAAAGTGTAAATTCTTTTTTCTACTGTGATAATATTAATGTATTTATTTTTATAGCAGCTATCAGTATGATGAAAGATATTTATATAAGTCATTGTGTATTATATAAACAAATAAAAATAGTTGTCTATATTCGAAAGAAGAATTTTGTCATGTATCAGAATGTGTAGTGTTGGTGTAAATACTGACAATGAGCTATCAACACAGGATTCATTGAGACAATGATTACACTAGCATCAGTGTTCACTAAAGCACTGATATCTGCGTTTGTTGCAACACTGAAACATTAACTCTATCAAAATATGCTCTTTTTGTAGCGATATGTTCCAGTACTTCAGGAAACACTGATACCAATGAGACCGTGCAGTCGATAACGTCGGTGATCAGTAAACTGAAACTGCGCATCTCTCTTATGTATGTATTAAATTTAATGAACTTTTTTGTATTTTGCAAAGAATAATTATGTCATGAGTAATAGCCAAATTTATGCAATAATATTATTGTAAATAGATCCTTCAATTGCAATTATGATAATCGTCATGGTTGCTGTATCTGTGTTTTATCATTAGATCAACAGAATTAGAGACTTAATATAATTGTATTTGTTTTTTTTTTATTAATGAAAAAAATGCTTTTGATTCTCGTTAGAAAGTAGATGACCTCTCATATGATGACACAAATAGTTAGATTTCGAACTCATTAGTGTAAGTCATGCTTGGTGTACTGATTATTTCTATCATATTAAATTATTTGTCTTATCTTTATTATTATGAATTCTTTCAAATTGAATATAATTTGATTAAACATATTTTTTCTTATTTATATATTTATCTATTTAACAGTCTGAAAATATTGAAAGACACACAATCATGTTATTTTTTTATTCTGCTTGTAAAGAAATAATGCTGTAAAATCCATAAAAATCAATTGTCAAAGAGAAGTTGATTATTTTCACTTGAATTATATAAATAATAAGTGGTTATTTTCAAAAACAGACAATAGAATTTTTTGATTACTTCAAAATGACATTACTTATTAGTGACTCAAAGCTAGTTTTTATATAAATACTTTAATAACTAAAGACTTCATTGTTGTTTAAAATTCTTTGTTTTTGACAACATAAACATTGAAATATATCTAATGACTGTAGATGCATTCAAAAAGCTTGTTATAGCTGTCTGAATCGATTAATATTTCTATTCATTATGAAACGACTAAATTATCATATTATTTTCATGTATTTTTCTATGAAAAGTTATTCAAAATTGTGTATTCAAAATTATGCTTGAAATCTTTTGTTGCTCCATACAATTTAACTTTGATTTGAAAATCATCTTTTCAATTAAAGTCATTTACTATGTAAAAAAAATATTTCGTTTTTATCGTCTTATTAACGGTAGAAAATCAAAATTCACAAGAATTAAGATTCTATGAGTAAGAAAAAGGCAATCATCATTTGTATAATATTTTTATTTTCATTTAATTTTTAGTCTTCAATCACTTCAACATTAATAAATAAAGTTAATGAAGATTGAACTATATCTATGATATCAATCAATGATACAATTTACATTTATCGATTATGGAGTTCAAATATTGATAAAAATTTTAAAGTTCAACTCTTATTTAGAAAATGTTCACAATTCGATTTAGAACCAATTGTCTTCAAAATTCTCCATATGGAATTTCATAATAAAAACATTCATATCGAGAACATCTAGACATGATTACCAGCATAAATTATTATGACGGATATGTTAAATAGTATCAACGAGGAAAACTGATTTATTTTTCGATTTCTACAACATTTTTCTACTTTCGTTTATTTCTAGTGATTTCTCATGTTTTCTTGTGATTTCCGATACTCTAGAACCATATCAGTATTGTTTGCATTTCCAATTCGGATTTGAATATTACAATTATGACATACTTTTGTGATCAGAAATAAAGCATAATCTAATTCTAATGCATAAAAAATAGGGCCTTATCTACACTATGTGACTTAATACCGAATTAAGGAATCTGATTGGTGTTTCCAAGTAGCAACACCAATCAGATTCCTTAATTCGGTATTAAATCATATAGTGTAGACAAGGCCAAAGCACAGACAGACGACAAAGAGAGAAGAAGGAGGATAGCGGGTACATCTCTTTTATTTCGGTCTAGATCAATACAAACACGGAAGATAATGTCAGCGTTATCTTTCCAACTGCGCATTAGTAAATTTAGAGTAGAAGAAAAGCCTGTGAATTCGAATAACTTCTCACGGACGAAATATAAAAGCGAAAGAGAAGACTGAGAGAAATAGAAAGAAAAATATTGACCTAAGTATGTACAAGAGTATCATGCATACTGGAAAAGAAAAACATGCATATACATACAGATAAGAAAGACAAAGAAGAAAGATAAAGATGGATGTTTGTTAGAGTGCTCTCTAACAGAATTGATCTATGAAATAGTCAAATAACTCAAAAAGATATTGAAACTATTAAATTGAGATGACATTATTGTAGTGAAATAGACGGATTGTATTTTAATTGAATTAGATCATCGATTAATTGAAATGAATGAATATCTCCAACGAATATCTTCAATAACAATTCAAAGTTTTACAAAAAAAACCCCATCTGAATCTAGTTCATTTGAAACAAGCACATAATCGTATTACATGTCATTAAATCATTCTCATAAAAAAAAAGTCTCAAAGATTCTTTTGATACTTCAATAAAGTCGTTTTTCTTGTTAATAAAATTTTTATTTCAGTAATTTCTTATTGAATGAACTCTTTAATTCATACAATAGGTTGTTTGATGAGCATAACATTGAAGTTGAATTGATTGGCAAGTACTATAGCATGATGAGCAGCCATTCATAGTAATCATTTCATAATAATGATATCCAATTGATGTTTGGCAAGAACATCCACATCGTACTGATCCATTTGGTATAGTTGCTGTAGAAGTAACTATTCCCAAACAAGAACCTTGAGTTTGGCCAAATTGATTATTTACACATACATTCGGATATTGTTTAGTACAAGCTATACTACATGCACCAACTTGACATGCAAAAGCATTTGTATTACCAACGAATGTAGGTGTACATAAATATGAACCTGTATTACAACAAGTACATTGACATGAGTATGGACCACCAATCATTGGTGGATTAGTAGTTGTTGTAGTTGTTGTTGTAAGACATTTTCCAATGGCTTGACCGTTTGGAGGAGATACATTACATTGATAATATCGTGCTTTACAAGCTTCTAGACATGATGTATCAGTGCATTGTTGAGCATCGACTAAATCGGGTAATTGAGGTGCTTGACATCCTTGACCAAAACAACACGAACATGAACATTGATATGAGTCGACTTGAACAATATTTAAAAGGCAAATAGAAAGGATCACTATTGATATAAGATACATGATATGAGAGTATTATTAGTCTTTGCCTTATGCTTTCTGAATGAGAAGCGCGAAACTGAAAAGTATCATATGTATTCACAGTAAGAAAATCTTCTTCAAACAAAAAAAAAAATAATTGAAAATTTGCTGTGGCAATTGTCAAGTAATGAAATAGAATTTGATCACTTGATTTCTAAAAAAAATCGATTCTTTGTCCTCAGAATAAAAGAAGAAATGTTTTTTTGATTAAAATTTTTCCTTCTTTTCATGATTCATGCCATATTCTATTTACTGATAATTAACTGCTTATCAACAATTCGAATAGGATTAAATTTTCCATGGAATGATGAACTTTCAAAGTACCGATTGTTGATGTTGTAATGTGCCATTACGCATATCTTTTGCTAGTCATATTGACTGAAAAGATGGTTATATACCCGTGAGAACCGCATTATCTGGAATACCAAGTATAAAACTCAAAACTATGACAATGAGAAATCAGATCATCACTAATATGTTTTTCTCAATAGCAATTGTTGTCTGTCTTGCACTGTTTAGTACATCATTTGCTTCTAAGTGTCCGAAAATTGTTACTCAGAAGAATTTTTCTGCTATCAAAGTAAATCGAATGTTTTCTTCATCAAGTAATAATACTTTCTCTCATATGTTATTTCTATATTTCTAAAATTTAGCCCTTTGGTACGAAATCAAATAAATAATATTATTTTTGAAATAGCAGCCAAATATGAAAATGCTACCTGCACAGTCAATGATAATAGCACAGTTGGTGTATATAATCAAGCTATTACAGCATATGGCGGTTATTATTCTATTTGAGGCATTGTCAGAGTAAAAGATCCTTCAGACCCAGCTGCTTTGAAATTTATTTTTTTTTAATCCTCGTAAGGCTCTTTCTTTGCTTATTGTCTATCCTCAACTAATTGTTCCCTTTATTCTGCACAGCTCGACAAGGTGATTATAATGTAATCGCAACAAATTGCAATGAATATGCACTTGTTTATGCTTGTGAATCTATACCTATTCTTAGTGATAAAATTGAATTTATTTAGTTTATTTCGTAACTTTTATTAATACCGTTAAGTAAATATTCTAAAAGGTTTTTGTGTATTTTCTTTTTAAACCAAATGTTATTACAATCACGTATCAATAAACTAAAAAAGATTCTAAAAGATATGAAAACCAATGTACACGGTTTCAAACCAATTCAAGGACATTGCTCATAATTCTTTTTTTATAATTCTAATATAATGAAAAAGTTATCTTAGTCATGAATCGATTCGATGATTTCTTTTATTGTATAAACAGTTTCTTATTCTCACTGAAAACATTCATTTTTCGAGTCATGACAAGCATAGCTGTGTCAACAGGCCACTTTTTTCCGGTCTAGTCTGATCTCACCTGCAGGTCAAATCAGGCGAATTGATGTTTCTGATTTTTCGAACCTATTATATTTCTAACTCTGGGATTAATTTATGATAGCAGTTTCAATTATTTATTTAACTTATTTCCATGAAGATGATAGAGTGACCGGTTCTTCCGGAAAATAGCAAATTAAAACAAAGAGACAACCATCATAAAAATCTTTCGCATAATAAAGGCTTCAATTTAAAAAAAATGTGTGACCGTATCAGTACTGCTTCGCATAATCGGAAAAAAAATCACCCATCACAAAAAAAAACAACATGATAAGGCAAAGAACGAGGAGTTCAAGGAAAATATCGGGAATAAGAGAGAGGGTGATAACAACAGGGAAAGAAATTTACTATTTGACTATTCAATTTTGCAACAGGGTGTGGATATGGTCGAGAGACTGTTATATGGTTCGATTTAATCTTTTTTTCTTGTAAGAGTGCAGATGTATATGTGTGTGTCCTCGACACTAGTTATTTAGTTAATAAGTAAAGAAAAACAAAACGAAACGAATGACTAGAAATAGTAGAGGACGAAAAATAGATGAGAAAGAATTTCATATATACGTGGTGGAAAGAATAAGACTAGCAACGAGCGACATCACACGCTAACAGAGACAAATATGACACCCACACCCCAATTATAAATGGTGAAATTAGGGGACAATATCATTAACTTGTGCACCATTCCATGTTTGAGTGTGAGTGATTCAAGAACAATAACTCAGATTCACACCCACATCCACACCCACTCACACCTTGATGCCAATCTCATTTAGATTGAACTGACCAAGATTGATCTCAAGTTACTTTTTCTGATGAAAATAATTTTGAATTAGTTAATCGCGGGAACCATCTTTATGTACGTCGCTATCGTTATGATCCAAGACGTTTCGATCGTTCTCAACCACGTATTCATAAAGGTGGTAGTCTTGGCGTATGGTCGTGCTTAACAAATTATGGTTTAGGTGATTTAGTATTTTATAATAGTCGTCTTGATTCATCGGGATACATTAATATACTCGGTACACATTTAAAATTAGCATATAATCTTTTTCCAAAACTTTATCGTGATCAAAAAAATATTTCAACAAGATAAAGCAAGACATCATGTATTAAGAATAACACAAGAATATATGAAAAAACGTCATATTACTACATTACAATGGCCGGCTAATTTGACTGATCTCAACTTGATCGAAAGCATATGGTTAATTGTGGACAAGAAAATGTTAAAATATTCATTTGAAAATGTTGATGATTTAAAAATAGCTATGACTACAACATGGAATGATATTTCGACTGATGTTATACAAAAACTTTATAAATCAATGAGAAATAATTTGAAAGAAGTTATAAAACGAAAAGGTTTACCTTGTCATTCATAGATTTCTGTTTTGTTATAGTTATATGATTTGAAAATAGGAAAAAATAATAGAAAATAAAGATAGAGTAACAGAAGTCTTATACTTATGATACTGTAGTTGCTCATCTTTATCAAATCTGTCATATACAAAGGGCAAAGATTATGGACTGTAAGAAGATATGTTATATAGATATGGTTATATATGCAAGGCATGAGTAGATCAATATGATTTGTTCTTAACATGGGCGGGCCACCATTGTGGCAAAGTGTGGCAGTTGCCACATCAAAAATTTTTATCCGTTATGGATTTTCCTGTACGACTGTTTTTTTTCGATCCAATCTTTAATCGGAAGCTAGCAAAAAGAAAAATAAGACCAGAAGTGACTCTTGCTTTTCCATAGAGATATCCTCAGATAGGCCGGATTTACCCCTTTTTTCTAGAGCTGATATAGACATTGATTATTTATTTGCTCTTGCTTGGTTTTTATGGAATTTGAAAGCGTCTTCAGGATAGGTTTTAACTAAGGAAAGAAATATTGGCTAAAGCCTGATGTTTTCAAGTATATTTTATTCATACTCTATTCTTTGGATATTATGCTTTGCTGTTGGTTTCAAAATCGGAAAGAACAAGTTCCATTAAGACATCTTGAACTTTAAGAAGGTAATGAAGTACTGTCCATAATTAATTGAAACATATACTATAAAAATCCTTTGAACAGATGTTTAGTTATTGATTTATTTAAAATAACTTATATTTCATTTCGACGAATATATTCGTCATCTTCAAAGTGATGAACTCTCTATGATACATTCATATACAGATAGACAGGAGAAAAAAAGGAACTGAAAAGGATGAGTCCGCTTAATCATGACATACACCACTGAGTAAAGGGCAAATTGTGTTCTGTTCTATTCTGTTGTGTTCCTTTTTTCTATCTGCCTATATAAACATTTATCATATAAAGTTCATCACTTTAAAGATGACGAATACATTTGTTGAAATGAAATATAAGTTATTTTAAGTAAGTCGGTAAATAAAAGTATGTCAAAGGATTTTATGCTATATGTTTTGATTAAGACTATTGTTTAGGGAAATATTTAGTCTTTTTTTTTCAGACTAATTCCGGCGAAATGTCTATCTGTAAAAATCCATTGACTAACTACTTCAAGAAATAAAATATCGTCGATAATGTTGAAGAAGTTAATGAAGTAGAAATTCAATCAAATTCAGTTGAAGAAACTGAAGGTCTTCGCATTAAACGATTTAAATCAGATGAATTGGCTGATTCCACAACACTTACTACCAACAATACTACTACTGCTTCCATTATTAGTTCAACAACAATACTATCCACAATATCATCATTATCGAACGAAAGAGACCCTTGCCATGACCCTGCAAAAAGCAAAAGATCATATACTATTAGGTCCATTTCAATCAAAAACAAAATTTCCAACTGTAAATGGCCGTCATTTTCGTGCAGAATGGTACAACACTTATCCATGGCTAGAATATAGTTTAGAATTGAATCATGCATTCTGCTCTCCATGTCGCTTACGTAATGAACGTAAGCATGAGACTGCATTCACAGCTACTAGTTTTAATCAATGGAAAAATGGAACGCTACGATTAAATGATCATCAAGCAGCAAATTGTCATAAAGAATCTTTTGAAAGATGGAAAACAACGCTGCAAAATTATAATAATAATACAGATGTATTGAAATTATTGAATCAACAATATTCTAAACAAGCAACTGAAAATCGAACATATTTAAAAGAAATTATTCGGACAGTTCATTTTCTTGCACGTCAAGGAGTCAGTTGCAAGTTATGTGGATATCTTTAGATTTTAAATTAAAGATATACTGATTTGTTGTGCTCCTTGATCAAGTTATTTCTTCATATTTTAGTTCGTGGTCATCGCGAAAATGAAGACTCCAAAAACAAAGGTAATTTCTTAGAATTATTGCAATTAAGAAGTAATGACAATGAACTGATAAAGAGGAAGAAAGAAGAAATACAATTCACAGATTATAAAATATAAAATGAGTTGATTGAATTGATGGGCAAACAGGTATTGAATCGTATTGTACAAGAAATTCAACAAGCTAAATACTTTTCTATTATGATCGATGAAATAAATGACATTTCAAAATTAGAACAAGCATCTTTGGTAATTAGATATACTGATAACCAGTTTAATGTTCATAAGCGATTCATGGGCTTCGAGAGAACAACAGAAATAACAGGTGAAGCATTGTTTGATTTATTATTAGAATGGTTGAAGAAATTGAATTTAGATGTGAAAAATATTGTTGCACAATCATATGATGGAGCCTCGGCAATGTGAGGCGAATATAAAGGTGTTGCAGTGCGCCTGAAAGAAGATGCTCTATGTGGTAAGAAACATAAAGAATAGAGACAATTTTTCTTTTTTTTTCTAAATCTATTATATTGCTCTCTTTATCATTCAAAGAAATTTACATACATCGCAACGGACATATATTGAACCTATGTCTAGTTGATGTTTCAGCTAGGGTTTCTTCGGTTAGAAATAATTTTGGAATTATTTCATCGTTATATAATTTGATTGAAAGTTCTGCCAAAAGGCATGTTATATTTGAAGAAATACAAGAGGAATCTGGATTACAATCTTTAACAATTAAACAGCTGTCAGATACAAGATGGACATGTAGTTGTGATTGCCTAAAAGTCGTCTTGATTAGATATGGACAAATTATTTCAACTTTTCAAGTAATGGAAGCACTAGAATTATATTTACTTCTTAATTCGATAGAATCATTTGACTTCATATATTTTCATTCCGCAGCAGAATGAGACATCACTTTGCCTACTTTGTGAGACCATGTTTCAAATTTTTTCGAACTAATTTATGATAACACAAAAATAACCTATCTTGTGCAGAATTTGGCACCCTTTCTATTAATGTCCTTGGAAAAAAATTATGTGCTTTTTTTTATGTGAAACCAGAAGCTTTTCCCACTAAGACAGACATTTTTCACATAATCTCTAAAAATAAAAGATATTTCGCGTATCTTTTCACAATTACTACCTTAGGCGAACTTTTTTTTTCTCAATCTTGACATGCGCCAACCTCAAGATTTGTCCATAGCACATGACCTTTTTTCCATCGACAAGCATTTGAGCGCTTGCATGAGTTTTACGCACATTTAAAGCAACTCATGCGCTGAACGTATGAAAGTCAGAGGAATGAGCTGTCGTTGGACAATCAATTAGGAAAAATAACGAAAGCAAAACTGTCCAAGACGAAAGAATGCTCCTCGATATTCCGGCTATCCGAGACTAATTATTCGCACAGATTTCATATAAGGCTTGCATACTAAAATATTTGTTACTTTTATTATAAATAGTTCGGTTTTGGATATAAAGCTGAAGAAAAAAAAAGCGCATTTAAAATATAATTAAATTCATTTCATGTATTACAATCGCTGTTTTCAACGTTATGAGAAATTATGGAATTAAATTGAATGTTAATATCACTTGGTTACGAGTAAGATGGACTTGTATTATCACTTTGTGCAGTTCCTAATGCTTTTCAAATATTATTTCGTTAATGACCATGTTTTAACTGCCGAAATGATTCTTGGATAATCTATGAAGTATCTTTAAAAAATTAATCATCATTATGTAAGCGTTTATCATGTTCTTTTATTGCATCTATACAGAAAAATGTACGTTAGTATGCTCCTCATCAGTTCCTAGATACTTTGAATTTCTGGAACCATAATTTTGTTTTTCAACATTGTATTTGGACTAGATGCATGTTCTATCAATCGAAATATTTGCTGGAGAAACTTTGTGTGTCTATTGAAAGCAAAGTCAAAGTTGCTAACATCAACACTAAGAGCAAATTAAATAAAACTCAGAATTACAGTTATTCACAGCCTTATTTTTCACTCACTTCTAGATCTGATACTATTGATTGAAATTTAGGAGCAACCATGTTAATTAGATCGTTTCTCTAAATCAGTAGTGGCACAATTGAATAACTAGAAACGAAAATGACTCACATCCTTCAGGACATCTATATCCAAGAAAAGACTGAAAATTTAGAAAAAAGACTACAGCACTAAAATACGTTACATGTGCTTGAACAAGAAGTCTAAGTGCATCTCAGCGCGTGAGTGAGACTGCCAAGTGATAAAACAAGAAATTCAAGCACTTGAGTTCTCAAAAAAAGCCTCAAGTCCTGATTCAAGATATGTCCATAGCGCATGACTTTCTTGTTCCAGATGCTCATGTATTTCATGCGCATACCACAAGCAAGTTTACTAGGATATGCATAGGTATTTTTTTGTATGGGTAGAAAATTTGAATATATATATGATAGATTTTGTAGTAGTTTTTGAATTTTTGAATCATTGAATAGGTTTTGTCGTTGATTGTTTAATGAAATTTTATTTCATTACCGAATAAAAAGTTTTATTTATAAATTATTTTTTTTACTTGAACGTTTCGGAAGTTCTACTGTTATTATCAAGACATATGATAGTGGTTCACAGGACGAAATATAATTCAAAGGACGAAAAAAGTGAACATCTCTTTTGTTTCTACCACATAATACTGATTCGATCCTTTGTAGAGGTATCTATAAAGTTTTTGGTTGCAAGGAGCAAATGGATGTTCACGTTTTTTCATTCTTTGAATTATATTTACTCTTATGAATCACTATCATATCTTCATATGACACTAGAACTGTCAAAATGTTGACGTAAAAAAAAATTAATTTATCAATAAAACTTCTTATTAAATAATAGAATAAAACTTCATTAAATAATCCAAGAATAAAAAATTATTTAATGATCCAAAAATTAAAAGTTGTCCTAAAACTTATAATAGTGAAGCAAATGAAGACCATTCCTTACCTTCAACATTATTCTCTCTTTTTTTTTCTTTTCTGATATGTCCTCAAGTTCTCTGCCTAGGTAACAAACACATTGAGTTTGGCATAAAAGCAGCACATTAAATGAATATAAATCATTTTTATTCTTCTCTAAACTGAACAAAGAAAGAGTTATCAATGTGTAAAAACGACATTGAATTATTAATGTGCGGCAATTTTGTGAGTGTTTTCAAATAAAAATTTTCTAGGGTTTACCTAAAGAATCTATAGAATTATCAAACATGTTTTTTTTTCAAATTTATAATGAAACTTTAATTTTTTTTGTTTTCTGCAGGAATAAAAGCAGCAGCAACAGATTATTAATCTGTTGCAAAATCAACAACAGCAGCAACACCAGACTATCCATCTGTTACAACAACAATAATAACAACAACAACAAAAAAACATTAAAATTTTTGTAAATTTTTTCTAAGATAAAAAGAAACAAAACGAATTTTCTTCTTCTTGTCTCTTAAAATGAAACGACGTGGAGTGGGTGTGGGGATTGAAGTGTATGGAAGTAATGAAGAGATGATCTACATTCACACTCAACTCAAGAAGATTGGATATGAGATTTTGTTTTCATAAATATAATAAAGTTATCTTAGTCATGAATTGAGACAGTGGCTTCTTGTATTAACTAGAGAATTTCTTATTCTCACTGGAAATATTCATTTCTCGAATCATGGAAAGTCAACAGTGTAACTTCTTATGTTAAATATAAATTCATATTTGATAAGAAAATCTCTGAAATACTGCTATCTATCAAGGTAAATTCTTTGGCATAATTCATCAATAGAGAAAAACAAAGTAAATAATAACAATTAGAAAAAAAATCAAACAAATTTGTTCATGTTTTTGTTAAACCCATTCTCTTGGTTCTTTTAAAACTTTCATAAGTTTCATTTCCGGTGAATCAGCTTTGTAATCCCATGCATATTTCCATTTAGCAACCGGTGGTAATGACATAAGAATACTTTCAATGCGTGAACCAGGTGTTTGTAAGCCAAATTTAGTACCACGATCTAATACAAGATTAAATTCTGCATAACGTCCACGTCTTAATAGTTGCCAGTCACGTTCTTCTGTTGTATACGATCGTTGATAATTTGATTGTACTACAGGTATATAAGATGGGATAACTGTATTTGCACAATCTTTAACAAAGCTAAAGCATTCTTCTTGATTCGGTTGATTGAGATCATCAAAAAATATTCCACCAATACCACGACGTTCATTGTGACGAAAAGTTATATTAAAATAGTCATCACACCATTTTTTAAATTTGGGATAATAAGAATGATCATGTTTATCGCAAGCCTTTTTTAATGTTAAATGAAAATGTTTACAATCATTTTCGTTTAAATAATAAGGTGTCATATCAGTACCACTAAAAGAAAAGTATAGTTTTATATATTCATCTGAATTATCATGTTGCGTTAATAATGAATAGAAAATAAAATAAAAAACTTACCCACCATACCACCAATGTACTTTTCCATCAGCATCAACTAATTCAAAATATCGATAATTAAAATGTAATGTTGGTACATATGGAT